CCTGCTCCTTACATATATGTGCCTTTACTCACTACTACCCTAACTTTAAAGTGGACCCTCCCTTCCATTCATCCATCAATTAATCAACAGGCAAATAATAAGTGTTTTCTATGTGCAAGTCAGTAAGCATTCACTAAGCAAATACAAAGAGAAAATAGTACTTGTCCTCAATAGGATTATACAATCTCATTTATAATACACACACACATACACACACACACACACAATATATTATATGTATAGTACTATGTACTATATGGTATATAAACATAAGACATATACATATAAAAGATATGCATATCTATCTGCTAAAGTTCTTCCCTTCTTTCAAAATTCACCTGATGTGTCACTCTTTCTATACCAATCCCTTGCTTCTACACAAGAAAAAGTGATTTCTTCTTCCTCAAAATTATCATTACATACTGTCTGAACTTTGACTTTGTACTTACACATCATACTTTGTATCGTACTTACTTCTGTGAATGTTTCATTATGTCATTCAATTGAAAGCTCAGTAAAGTGCAGAGTTTGCCTTCTATTTCATCTTTGTATCCATGCATTTATACAATTCCTGGCATAGATTAGGTATTTAATGCATTTGACTAAACGTAGTCAATTTATGTACTGATGGCCTTTATGTATACTCAAGCTTATAATACACACAAGTTATTAGCATGATATTTTAAACAAAAGCAAATTCATAGAATCAAATAATCACATTTTTTTAGTTGAAAGGAATCTCAGTGGTTATCAAGTGAAACGTATTCCTAAAAAGTATGTCTAGTATAATATAGCCAATAAGTGTTTATTCAGTTTCTTCCTAAAGACTTCAGTAAAGAGAAACCTATTATTTTCCATACCACTTTTGAATAGCTGTAATTACTAGGAGGTTTTTGTCTCTCCTGGGCTCTTCCCATTACCCCAAATCTAAATTTGCTCTTTGTAACTTCTACTCATTACTCCTAGTTCTGATACTTAGTTACATTGAACAAGTGTTATAGGTCTTTCCTATGACAACCCTTTAACTACTTGAAGAAAGGTACTATATGTCTAAAAGTTTCTTTTCTCTAGGTTGAATATCTCTAGTTTATTCAATAGATCTTCACGTGGCATGGAAATAAGACCTTTTACTCTCCTGGTTCCTCTTATCTACACATTCTACATTCCATTAATAGTGGGATTTTTTTGAGGGGTGAGCCAGTTGACTTGCTCAGAATCACACAGCTAGTGAGTGTTATGTATTTGAGGCCAGATTTGAACTCAGGTCCTTCTGACTCCAGGGTCGGTGCTCTATCCATTGTGCCACCTAGCTTCCTCTATAGTGTTAAACCCTCATTCTAAGAGTTGAATATGATTCTCCAAGTGTGGTCATCCTCTAGTTAATGCCCTCAATGAAAATTCAGAGGTATGTCTACTTGCAAGAGATATTAAAGAGGTAGAAATGGCAAGACTCGGCACCTGGTCTAGTTGTGAGGCAAGGAAGAAGGAAGAGTAAACATTAGTACAAGACTATTAGAATTGGTGAAAAAAATGGTTATGTCATTAATTGATAGAGAAAAGTTATATGGAAAGTAAGGTGAATCAATCAACAAGCATTTCTTAAGTTCCTAATCCATTCATGGCAATGTGGTATAAGTGAGGGAGACAAAATAAAATGAAACAATATCTGCTCTTAAGGAACATTCTGTTAGCAGAGCAGATAAGTATGCATCAATATATGCAGAATGAATGTAAGATAAAAACAAAGTAGTTTAAAACAAGTTAAGGAGGAAAGACACTAGTGGTTGGAGGTGGGGAAAAGTGGGTAAGGAAAAACTTCATCTAGAAGGTTATACTTAAACTGAATCTTGAAGGAAGTGCAGGATTCCATGTGACAGAGGTGAGAAAGGCATTTGCTGCAGGCATTGGGAATGGCTTGTGTAAAGGCAAAGAGACAGGAAATCAAATGAATATGGGAGGAACAGAGAGAAGACTAGTTTTGCTGGACTAGAGATTACAGAAAGGAGGATAATGTAAAATGAAGCTAGAAAGATTAATGAAGATGAAAAGATGATGTGTTTGGCAAGTTGACTTTGGATCAGATATCTAGGTGGCAATGCCTAGCAGGAAGTTGGAAATGCTGCGTTGAAGTTTTGGGAAAACTTTTGAGGTAGAAGTTGAGATCTGAGAAATGACTGCTGAAGTGATAACTGAAATCATGGTAGATGATAGATAACCAAGGGAGAGTGTATAGCAAGAAGTTAATAAGACCTAGGATAAAGTTTTAGGGGACACGCGAGTTTAAGGGATGAGGAAAGGATGAAGAACAACCGAAAAGAAATAAAAAGCACAGTCAGAGAACTGCAAAGAAAACCATGAGAGTAGAGTATCGTGTAAGGGAAGGGAGGAGAAGGAAATAGCTGACAATTACTTGGTTCTTTATAGTTAATGTGCTTTAAACGCATTATATCTTTGAAGCCTCACAACAAGGATCGGGTAGGGAATGCAGATATTATTATTATCATTTTATAGTTGAAGAGACTGAGGATCAAGAAGATTAAGTGACTTTTGCATGATCGTATAATTAGCAAGTGTCAAAGATTGGAGATGATTTCTAGTCTTCCTGATTCTTAATTTGTTTTTCTAACCACTGCATCAGCTTTCTAAAACAAAGGCCTCAAAAGTAAGACATGGATTGTAGCCCCTAGAAGAGGCATAGGATAATACCAGGGGGCTCAAGACTTGACCCCTAAGGAGTGTGTGATCAAACTAATGGGAGGGTGAGATGATAGATCCTATCACTCTCTCCCCCCAACCAAGTATAATCATTGGCTTGTCTCTGATGCAAATACACCATCCTTAAACATATTCCACTGTTCCACTCACTCCTATCTCTGGTTTTCTACTTTAATGGTCCCTCATGGCAGTTATATACCCTCATCAAGATACCCACAGAAACTGTAGCAAGCATAGTTCTTCATATCTCATTAATTTTAGCTTTATCCTATCTTTTAAAAACTTTCTGTTTTTTGTGTTAGTTTTGTGGCATACATAATTATTAGTAAAGTATTGTAGTTAATTAAATAAACATATATATGTACATATATATGTGCGTGTGTGTCTGTGTGTGTCTGTGCATGTCTGCGTGTATATCAATGCTTCATGCTCCTTTTTTCCTAATGAATGAGAGATCAAAATTTTGGAAACCACTGTTCTTAAACACCAAATGCCACATAATATATCAAGCAGGATGAAAACGGGGGGGAAAGACCATTGTGTTTTGAAATAAAGAAGTAATTAGTGATTTGGAGAGAGCTTTTTAAATGAGTGGTGCTTACAGAAGTCAAATTGCAAGGAACTGAGAAATATGTGGGTAAGGAAATAGTGGGGAATTTAGACTTGTCTTTCTAGGAGCTGGGTAGTGAAGTTCTTAAGTTCTTAAGTTCCTAATCCATGCATGGCAATGTGGCATAAGCGAGGGAGACAAAATAAAATGAAAGGAAAGAAATATGATGGCAGTTGGACCAAAGGGCTTTTTACACTTTTTTTAAAGGACAGAGACACCTGAATGTTTTTGAAGGTTGAGAAGAAAGAATAGGTTTCAGAGATTTTAGAGCAACCATTGACCGATGTCTTCTTGAATTTTTAAATATACTTACTTACATTGGGTAGTAGGATACCTTGGGGTTTCAGAAAATTACATGAAATCTTTGTTTTGAGCATGAATACCATTAGCTCCCCATTTCCTCAAATAATACTTCATCCCATTTATCTTATCTATCATTTGGAACTGAGGTGAGCATTCCCAGCTCCTTTCTTCTGTGTTCAAAATGAGCCACCTTTTTCCATTAAACCCATCCAAACTTTAGGATCACACAGAAACTTATACTGCATCAATACACTATTTAGAATCACAGACTTTGAGTTGAAAATGAACCTCAGTGATCATTTAACACAAAATATACAGAAATGCAATCCTTACTATAACATAACTAACAAATGTCTCTCTAGCCTTTTCTTGAAGAACTCCAAGGATTGGAAACCAATTACGTCTCAAGGCAGCCAATCCTACTCTGGGGTAGTTCTAATTGTTAAGATTGGGCAGCTAGGTGGTTCAGTGGATAGACTACCAGGTCTGAAGTCAGGAAGACTCATCTTCCTGAGTTTGAATCTGGCCTCTGACAATTAGTAGCTGTTTGATCCTGGGCAAGTCACTTACCCCTGTTTGCCTCAGTGCCTCATCTGTAAAAGGATGTGGAGATGGAAATGGCAAACTACTCTAGCATCTTTGCCAAGAAAACCCCACATGAGGTCCTGAAAAGTCAGACACTATTGAAATGACAGAACAGCAAAATCAGCAACAACAAAATTTCCTTACAAGCCTGAATTTGCCTCTTTGAAACTTTCAGCCATTTCTCTTTGTTTAGCTATCTCTTGCCTGTCAAACAAAACATTTCTTTTCCCTCCTTCATATGATAGTCACTCATACGCTTGAAGATGCTTTTATGTCCACCACAAGTCTCTTCTCCTTGATGTTAAATATGCTCAATTTCATCACCAAGTCCTCATATGTCATGAACTCAAGGCCCAGCTTGTCCTTCTTTGGACTGTCTAGAATTTATCAATGTTCTTCTGAAACCCTGATTCCCAGAACTAAGCTTAGCTCTTCAGATAAAGTCTCAAAAGGGCAGAAAGAGTAGGATCATCACATCTTTGTTTCTAGAAGCAATACAATCCAAGATGGCATACACTATTTTGTTTGTCTTTTCCATGGATATGAATGTAATCAGTTCTTTGTCCCCCAGGAACATTTGCACAGTTAATAATCTTTGCTAAGGCAGTGCTGCTGATTGCCTCTGAAAAGATAATAATCTGGGTTGAATTCCAGAATTTGTCTGAATGCAGAATGATAGGCACACATGTGACCTGATGACATTCATTCTTCTAATATACTTCCCGTAGGACAATTAATGAATCAAATAGAAGGTCAGCAAAAATTTATTTGGGGGCACTTGGTGTCCTTTCATTGTTGCTGCCTTCCTGGAAAGAATACTTTCTTTCCCTTCTACATTCGCTGCCCCCTTCCCATGTTAGGTAATATACCATTCATTTTAGTCCTGTTTTAACTTCACAAGCATTTCATACATTAGCTAAAAAATCAAAATATTCAAGCAGCACATCCTGGCCCCTAGAGTCCACAGCACCTGAAAAAAAGAAGGAAAAACAAAACACTTTATTAGCATCTATATTTTGTCCCTTCAAATGTGTATAGGCACACTCTGCTGAGTTTCCAACACTTAGAACACTAAGAGTCTCCTGGGAGGTGGACAGAGTAGTACCTCAGTGTTGCAGAACTGCTAAGCAAAGGAACAAAAGGGTTGAACATTAATGATCTAGTCCAGCAGAATGAGTCTACTAATGGGAAAAAATGGTCAGAAATAACACTCTGGTGTAAGATTTCTTTATTCTCTTAAGTTTCATCCCCAGCTCTCCCCCTCCTTTTTAGTTTATTTTTATTTTTACTAGAACAACAACAACAAATTCTCTGATTACTATTGCCTTCCTGCAAGGCTGGAGAACTCTCTTGTTTGAACCTAGGTAAGACTGTGAAATGCCAATCTGTCTAGATCGCTCAATGATTAGCAAGAATTCAATAGTATGGGGTGGGGAGGTATCACATTCCCAACCTTGTTAATGTTCACTAATCTCTTTCCTTGTACTTATCTGCAAAGGAAATATGAATTGTTGGTTGAATTTCAGCCCTAACTAAATGCTTTGGGCAGGGAAACTGTTTTGGGACCTCCCATGGGTGCTAGCATAAGTATTTGGGGAGATACATTTTTCAGTAAAGGCTGGTGTTTGTCTGTTGCTTTGAGGTAGTAGAGGATAACTATTTTGCAAGATTTTGTTTTTCATATGTCCTTCCATTTTATACTTGTATTACTTTTGCTTTCCTAGCTTTCTGTCTATCATAGGACATGGGTTTAAATTGCCATTCCAACACTCATTATCTATGTCACCTTGGGGGAAGTCGCTTAATCTTCCTTACTCTCTACAAAATGAGGAGGTTAGGAGAATAGGAAGTGTAACTGAATGGAGGAAACCAAAAATCTTTATATAGGGTATCACTGATCAGGAACTGATATCTAAGATATTAAGGGGACTGAGATAAGTCTGTAAGGCAGCCAATTATGATGGTGTGTGATGTGCTTGTAATACCTCCTTCCAGGATGGTTGAAATTCCAAGGAACAATTGAGCTCCAGTAGGCTTGTCAGTTGGTTGTCTGTATAAAGCCTGGTTCCAATATGATAAGTCTCCTAGTAGGTTGCTATTGGATGGCCTAAGGAAAGGCAAACAAGTCCAGGTCATAAAAGGAGCAGGTGAAAGATCCTGTCTCAATTAGTAATAGAATTGGGCTTTTGAGTGGATTCTGTACATCCAAGTAGACAAAATGGGAGACTCATTATCAAACAAACAAAAACAAATCTATAAGATAATGAATTATTACTTAATGGAAAAGTGATCAAAGGATATTAAAGTATAAACAAAACAAAAATGTCATAGCCACGTTAAAAATTTCTCCAAATCCCTCTGACATTCCCATTTACATCATGCAAAATGACATAAATAAAAAAGGACAGAGTTAAAGGTGTTGTGGAAAACCAGATGCATAATAAACTGTTGGCAGGGATATGAATTGGTATGATCATCCTAATTATGCTGATACAGTAGCTAAAATTCCCATACCTTTTGGCCTAGGAATCCTACTTCTAGGCATACAGATTCAAAGAGATATGTACTAGACCTATCATTTCTCTGATATTGGGAACTCTGAGGTGAGGCTTTTCTCTCTACCAAGACAGACTAGCCCATTACCTTCATTTATGCTCTTAGAAAGTCACCTGGAGCAGCCCTGAAGTCGGGAGGATCTGAGTCCAAATTTGGCCTCAGACCAAACACTTGGCACTTACTAGCTGTGTGACCCTGGGCAAGTCATTTAATTCCAATTGCCTAAAAGAAAGTCACCTGAAAAGCTAAGAGTTTAAGTGAATTGCTGAGGGTTCCCCAAGTAGTATGCTTCAACAGGATTTAAGCCCAGTTTCTCCTGCCTTTGGACAAGCTCCTCATCCATTACTCCCCATTACTCCTTAAGCAGGTGAATGAGAGGAAGCAATATATAACACATATGAAAACATTTAGAACAACACTTGTTCTAGGAACAAAAAACTGGAAAGAAAATAGACACCAGAAATTCGGAAAATAGCTTAAACAACTGTTGGATAGGAATGTGATGGTATACTACTCTGATAGAGGTAATGTTGGATATGAATAATACAATGAGTCATGGAAAGGCCTAAAAATGATGCAAAGTGAAGTAAACAAAACCAAGGAAATGCCATAATAAATTCTGATAGCAAGATAAAGGGAAAGAAAGACAGGAACAAAATAAAACCAAATATGGTATAATTATAACAACCAAAGTTGTCTCTGAAAAAGTGGCGAGAAAATGTACTTCTCTTCATTCTTTGAAGATATGGCTCAGAACATTGCATATACTCTCAGACTCAGTTGATACATTGGTTAATTTTGTTAATTGTTTTTCTGTTTCTTTTTGATCCTTTGTTATGAGAGATGGTTTTCTGGCTAGTGGAAGGGGAACACATATATTTGCAAATGAAGATATTCCAAATATTAATCACATAAATAAATTTTAAACAAAAATATACGATGGACCAAATGGCCTTTAAAGATCTTTTCATACTATAGATCTATTGATCCTAGAATCTAATTTTTATAGATTCAAGTTTACTGGACCTAGAAAAGGATATGTACAAGCATCTAGAGATTTAACTTCTTCATTTCATAGATGAGTGACCTTAGGCACAGAGAGATCAAGAAACTTGCTTAACATTATACCCCTGGCAAATTTCAGAGTCAGGACTCAAACTCAGTTTTTTTGTTTTGTTTTGTTTTGTTTTGTTTTGTTATTCACTTATACTGTATCATCAATTACACTGTGCAGTATAGCAATCTGCACTACCAGTCTACTAATGCACTAACTATAATAATTTAAAATATGGGTTTCAATAGATGTAATAACTTAACAGTGTAGACAGCTAGGTGACAGTGAAGAGGGTTAAGAAGATCAGACTTTAAATTTGTTCCTTAACAGATGCAATCCATCTCTATGCAGACAAGTCACTTAATCTTTGTCAGTCTCATTTTTCTCATCTATGAAATGGGAAGAATAATAATAATACCTACTTCCCAGTATTGTTTGAAAATAAAATGAGATATTCAAAAAGCTCTTTGTGGAAGTTAAAATACTATAAGAATGCTAAGTATTATATTATTAATTATAATTCATGTGATCATTTCTGGTCCTTTAAAAATAACTATAAATACCCTCCATTAGAAAACTTTTCTAATTAATTCATTTGCAAGTTTAATGCTCCTTAAATATACTCTAATGTTCTTTTGAGATCACTATTTCTTATTCTTTTCAGTACCTCTCTCTTAGGAGACTCTACTACCACCTAGCATATAATAATTTAAAGAACCACATATTCTTACCTTCATAAAACTTTTGTGTTTCTATTTCTCCAGTATTGAAATCTAGGTTCTCTGGTATCACAAAAATTGATGACCATCACTCATGTAACTCCTCTTTCCCCTATTCAAACACCTAACATTGGCAGATTGTAATGACTCTTCAACCAAAAATTATTCTTAGCTGTGGTTCTCTTTCTGTACTAGGTATTGAGTCCTAAATGGAAGCTATCTTAAAATTCTTAAAAGTTAGAAATCAAAAAACTTAAGAGAAAAAAAAATAACTTTTTTTCCTATAAGGTGGAAAAGGAAATATGTTGCAAGATATTTATTTTTGTTTAGAATAAAGTTCTTCATAATAAATGTCACACTATCCAAGCTTCATTAACTCAGATCTTATTGGCTAATGATATTAATTCTCTCTATGTACTTTGTGCTATTTAGTTAAGAACGATCAATAAGCCACATTTTTTTTTCCTGGACAACTGATCCTGGGTCAAACAAGTATGAAAAGTGATGTTATAGAGTAGAGAGAAATATTAGATCTGGCATCAGAAAAATCAGAGTTTGCAACTCACATCAAATACTTACCAGCTATGTGACTTTGGTCAAGTTACTTTACTTCTCTGGGGCTCAGCTTCCTCATTTGCAGAATAAATAGATTGGAGTCAATGCCCTATAAGTTTCCTTCTAGCCTTCATTATATGATCTGGTCAATGTGCCTATTGTTAAATGGGCAAACTGAAGCAGTAAGTAGTCAGATTTCTAATATGAGGTCATGTAGCTTATTTATACAAAATTTGGGTCTGATATCACCTTTACTAGAAGCTTGGAGTCTTTCACAGTGATACAACATGATTCTTCTGATGAAGTAGCATTTTGTAGCTATAAGACGTTATCAATATTTGATTTTATTTGTTACTTTGACAATTTTATTTCTTTTTATCACCCTACTATTTATCTGGAGGCATGGCTCTTTTGTTAATTTGTATTTGTGACCAAGAAAGGAAATTCAAATTCTTTTCCAGTTGCAAAAAAGGTTCTTCATGACCTTGAATAAGCAAGAATTATATGAGTTGAACATTTGGCACACTACATTTCTAAAAGATGAACAACAGTTCTGTTTTTCCCCAAACACATTTTTTATTATTTAGCAAAAGGAATACAGTGATACATGGGATGGAAAAAATATACTGAAGAAGTTTATTTTGACAAAAAGTAATAGTAAACATAAAATGCAGAGAAATTGGGCAGATAGTCATGATATTTGTTTTGTTTTGAACCAAACCTGTGATTTCATGACATAAGGAGCTCCCAGTGTAGAAGAGTCTCTCACTGGTAAAAAAAAAAAAAAGTGCAAGACAATTTTTAATTTAATTTTTTCATGAACAAAAATCTGTTTTTTCTGTCTCTCACTCCTTCCCACCAACCATTATAAAGAAGGTAAAACAAAACTTTTGTAACAAATATGAAAAGTCAGACAAAACAAATTCCCAATATGGATAGATTTGAGAGCAATCTATCTCAATCTGGAGCGCAGCACCACCACTTCTTTTCTAGGAAATAGATAGCATAGCTAAGCATTAGTCCTTTGAAATCATGAATGGTCATGCATAAAACTCATTTGTGACTTATAATAGTAAATAAGTACCTGGGACTCTGAGAAGTTAAATCACTTCCTAGCATCACATAGCTAGCATGTTTGAGAGATAAGCCTTAAAAACCCAGGTCCTGCTGATTCTTAGATTGGCCTATTTTTCACAAAACCATGCCCCCCCCCAAAAAAATTGGCAATTAATAATGCAAATAACTTAATTTTTTAACATGTCTCATCAGAAACAAGGTTAGAATAGAAAACAAGATATCAAAAATTACTAATGTTAAAAATGCTACCACTAAAACACAAAAAAAATCTCCAAACTTTAAAAGTTGGTCTTGGTTTTCTAAAGTCTTGACTGGTCATTGCATTCATTTATCAGAGTTCTAGTCTTTCAAAGTTTCTTTTTTTATTTGCATTATTATTGCCATTACATAAATTGTTCCCTTTTTTCCTTTATTTTTTCTTTTGTTTCATATTATTGGATGTGTCTTCCCAGCTTGCTCCGAAGATCTTATCATTTCTTAAGTAAAAATAATATTCTGTTTTATTCACACATCATAATTTGTTCAGACATTCCCTAATTGATATGTACTCATATTATTTCTATTCCTTTACTAAACAAAAAGTACTACTATAAATATGTTGGCAGCTAAAGGTCTTTTCCTTTATGTCTTTGACCTTTTTGTTGGTATGTACATAGTAATGTTATTAGTAGGTCAAAGGTAGGACAATTTATTTAATTTTGTGTATAATTCCAAATTGCTGGTTGAATGTTTGAATCAATTCATGGCTCTGTCAGCAGTGTGTTAGTGTACTTGTCTTCTTGTAGCAAATCTAATCATTGTGATTTTCATTTTTAATCATTGGTGTAATTTTTAAAGATGAAAGTTAGAATCTCAGTGTTTTATTTTTACATTTATTTTCATACCAGTGATTTCACATGTTTCTTGACATATTTCATTTCTCATCTTGAAAACTATATTTTTTGACTATCCACTGGAGTGGGGGACATTTTTCTTATTTTTCTTGAGTTCCCTGTGTCTTCTGTAAATCTATATCTTTAATAGTAGACATTATTATAGAAATGTATCACAAAGACTTTTCTCAGTTAAATATTTCCTTTCAAATTTTAGCAGCTTTGATTTGTAAATGGAAAACAATTTCCATTTTAAGTAATCAAAATTATCAACTTTCTTTTTATAAACATATATACCTCATTTTTTGGGTCAAGAGCTCTCTGCCATCAATACTAGTGAAATAAATGAATGATGATGATGGTGGTTGCGCTGATGATGATGAATGAAATTTCTACCAGGCTGCTTTATTTTTCTTAACATTTTTATCAATATAATAAGTAATTTGTGTCCTTCAATCAAATACCATGCACCTACATTAAATTCTGTCTGGGCCTTGTGTAACTAATTCATCCCTCTGGCCAATTTTTCTGTACTTCAACTACTGTCAACTATTCATGAGGATTACTGCTTTGTGATATACATTGAGATAAGATACTCTTTGGACCTTTTCCATCTACTTCGTTTTAACATTATTTCCCTTGAGAATTTAGTCCTTTTTTTTCCTCCAGAGTTTTGTTGTTATTTTACTTAGTTTATAAGGTAACCCTTCAGCAGTTTGATTTTATGGCCTTAAATCTGTAAATCAATTTAAATAGTATTGCTATTTTAATTACACTGGTAGGGCACAAGCATGAACACTTAATAAGTTCCATATTACTTAAGCTTTATTTCTATATGGGGTGTGTGTGTGTGTGTGTGTGTGTGTGTGTGTGTGTGTAGTTGTATTCATTTAACTCATGAGCATCTTGTGGTAGGTGCACTCCCAAATACTTTATATAATTGGTAGTCGTTTTGAATTGAATTCCTTTTTTTTATCTTTTCTTTCTGGAAAAAGTTGGTATTATGTAAAAAAAAAAAGATGATTTACATGTATATGATTTATAGCCTGCTACATAAAGGTAATTATTGTTTTAATTAATTTTAGCTGAATCTTCAGTGTTTTCCAAATAAATGATCATATCACCTTCAAAAGGTAATTAATATTTCTTATTTTCCTACATTTATTCTTTCAATTAATTTTTTATTATTTATTTCTATAGTTTGCATTTCTAGAGCTGAAGGATTTGGTGGTCATGAAAATGTACATGCTTGCTTTGCCATAGATTTTTTTTAGCTTATCTTATTACAAAAGCCTGTAGTATTCTTCAACTATGTGTAATACCACTTGATAATTAATTTATGAAACAGGGCAGGTACACCCAAGTTCTTTGGGTACTCCCTGGAAAGGCTGTGACAGGCAGCAGGAACTGGAGTGGGAATCTGATGAAACATTATACAAAATACAGAGACAAATGGCAAAAAGTAGGCATATAGAAATGGACTTGTGGGAAGAGGGGGGATGGGATGATGAAGAAAGGCAGGCAGAGTGTGGAAGAGGATAGAAAGGGAATGAGTCACTTATATAACCATGGATTAAAGTTGGGAGCACTTGGGCTGCATGGACCCTGGAAGATGAATGAATATTTGCAGGCAGGAATTTGAGGTCTAATTTTTATAGTTGTGGTTTTTAGAATCAGAACAACTTCTATCTGCCACCTTAGGGCTAGTTCATTAACATATCCAAGTCATCTCAAGCTATAAGTAAAACTTCAGATATATCTCAAAGTTATCAGCATGTTTTTCATGTTCTGCTGGTCTGAAGTTGTAGAAATCCAGAATGTGTTTGAAATTTACATATCTTAGGACCAGAATCCTTAAATCAGCACCTAAATTACTTCTGCTGTTTCTTTTTTAAAATTTTTAATTAATTCATTTTTATTTAGTATTTTATTTCTCCCTGTTACATGTAAAAACAATTTTAACATTCATTTTGAGTATCAAATTCTCTCTCTTCCTCCCTCCCTGCCCCACCCCCATTGAGAAGGCAAACAATTTGATATAGGTTATACATATGTAGTCATGCAAAACACATCCATAATAATCATATTGTGAAAGAAAACAGAAAAAAAAAGACTCAAGAAGAAATAAAGTTAAAAAGTATGCATCAATCTATATTCAGACACCATCAGTTCTTTTTCTGGGGATGGATAGCATTTTTAAATCATAATTCCTTCAGAGTTGTCGTGGATCACTGTATTGCTGAGAATAGCTAAGTCATTCACAGCTAATCACCTTACAATATTGCTATTACTTTGTACACAGTATATCTTGCTTTGCATCAGCCCATGCAAGTATTCCTAGATTTATCTAAGAACATCGTGCTCATCATTTCTTATAGTATGATAGTATTCCATCATAATCACATACCACAACTTGTTCAGCCATACCTCAATTCATAAGCATCCCCTCAATTTCTAATTCTTTGCCCCCAGAAAGGAGGTGATATAAATATTTTTGTTCATATAGGTTCTTTTACTTTATGTTTTTTATCTCTTTTGGGATACAGACCTAGTAATGGTATTTCTAGGTCGTGGTTTTATAGCTCTTGGCACATATTCCCAAATTATGCTATAAAATGGTTGAATCAGTTCACAACTTCACCAACAGTGAATTAATGTCTCATTTTCACCACATCCTCTCCAACATTTGTCATGTACTTTTTTTTGGCCTATTAGACAATCTAATAAAAGTGAGGTAGTATCTTAAAACTTAATTTGCATTTCTCCAATAAATGAGTTAGAGTATTTTTTCATGTGGCTATATAGATAGCTTTGATTACTTCATCTGAAAACTGATCATATCTTTTGGTCATTTATCAGTTGAGGAATGGCTCTTATTTCATTTCCCTATATGTTTGAGAAATGAGGCCTTTATCAGAGAAACTTGCTTCAAAATTTTTTTTCCCAGTTATTACTGATACTGAAATTCCCTCCATCCTATTTCCCTTTTTATTATATTCTATCTTTCCTTTCACCTCGTCCCTTCTCAAAAGTGTTTTACTTCTGACTACCCAATACCCCAATTTGCCCTCCCTTTTATCACCCCCCTTTTTCTTTTATCATCTTCCCTTCCTACTTTCCTGTAGGGTAAGATAGATTTCTATACCCAATTGAGTATTTATGTTATTCCCTCTTTGAGCCAATTCTGACAAGAATACAGTCCATTCACTCCCCTTCATCTCCCC